TTGTGGGTTGGGTGCTTTGGGGGTTGGGCCTTGGTCTTGGGTTCTTGGGGTTTGGGGGGGGGGGGGGGGCGTTGCGTTGCGACGTGTTTGCGTTTTGCTCCCTCCGTCCCTCCCGTTATCCATGCCTGTCTGTACAAGGGTTTTCGTTGTTTGTTTATGCCCTCAACGTCGACTTCTTTGTTTTTCTCGCATCGAGTCGGACCCCAAGTCACGTAGCCCACCAAACGCTCTCCATCCCCTCCCTCCCGACGCTCACACACACCCCTGCTTCCTCCCTTATCGTTTGTCGCGTCCACAGGCCGAGAGATTTCTACCACACGTGCTACACCCTCAGCGGACTCTCCGTCGCGCAGCACTGCCTTTCAAGCAGCCCGACGGTCGTAGGGAATTCTTCCAATCTGCTGGTGAGCTTCGTCCATCACATTTTGTTGTTGTAGTTGTTGTTTCTTTCCCTTGCAAGGTAGTGCGCACCCCTGGAGCCTTTTTTTTTTTTTATCGCTTTGGGTCAGCACTCAACACACGCAGCATTACTACCGTGTAGGATCCATGGTCAAGTCACACAGGAGGGCTCTCCCCCCCCCTGAGGCCCCCTACCTACCCCTCCTGCGGTGATTGCCTTCGATTGTTAACGCGAGAATGATGCAACGCTCTCTTTCCCTCATTACTGCTAATTGAAAAATAAAAGAGCCTCCGCATGTATCAAACGCCCCCAACTCGTTCCAAGACATACGTTTGCGCTGACATGCGCGTGAAATGAGAACAGGGGCGGCGCGGAGGGCGTAATCTTGAGCAAAATGTCTTTTGAAGCGTCCACCACCTTAGGCGTGCTCTGTTGTGGAGTATTTTGCAACAGGCCGAGACGGCCGTATTGTTTTTTTATGTTTTGCACCCGTTGTTTTTTTTGCATGCGACCGATGTTCTGCGGTCCTCTCTGGCACGGTTAAGTTTCCTTGTCCGCAGAATGTAAGTGGTTGATCCTCGCGATATATCTTGAAAAATGATCACGTCAACTCATCTGATACAGCAGCGGTAAAACTAGTTCACAATTTCACCAGAGGGCTCATCTTCCTTCATCACCGGATCTCGCACTACAATACGTTGAAAACTGGCATCAACTTTTTTTTTTTCTCTGTACCCCTTCCTGGCGCTTCGCTTCCCGCTGTTTTTTTTGTTTGTTGTTTTTTTCCCGCACGAGAACGGCAGAGACCGACCAATCCAGTCTACAACATCGCGGAGGATAAGGTTTTGAGAGCGATATCGTATTTCCAGGCGTTGCCGTCCGACCACGCCACGCTTACGGGGAAAACACGGGCTTGATCTGAATTTTTGGGGGCACGAAAGACAATATGACCCGTGCTCTCTGTATGTGTTTTTATTAGTAGCATCGACCGCGCTAACCGGCTGATGAGTGAACAGACGTCAGTCTCGTGCGGTTGATCACACAAATGCTTGCAAAGGCCATTAGCTGGGACCCCGTGGGGGGCGTCATGTTCGTGTTTGTGTTGTTACCATCGACCGCACCACAGCAGTAGTAGCAGATGCAGCCTTACGGATGAAAGAAACACCCCCCATGTCTCGGCGGGGGGGGACACGAAACTCCCAACAAAACAACCCACACTTTTTATGTGCCGTTGTGGCTGCTGTGTGTGCTCTGCGTAAGATCAAGGTGGGGGGGGGGCAAAATTCGCGCACCGCGCTGAATGCGAATGCCGAAATTAATCTGTCTGCGTGTGTGCGTTTGTGTCCGTGTTTCTGTAGTTTTGTATCGACCGCGTTAACCAATGAAAGTTGGCCTCTGTTATTGCGGACGGTGTGCGTGCGTGTTGGTGTACACTTATGGTAAGAGAAATGGCGCTGAACATTGCTAAATTAGTAGTTTTTGGGTTCCAAGGGAAGAGGTTTGCATGTGTCGCTTCCGCCGCGCCGCCTCTTGGTGCGGGCTGTGTGTGTGTGTTTTTTTTTGTTGCTTGTGTTCGCAAAAGTGCTTCGTTGACTTACTTGTTGTTCTTTTTTGCGACGAACTAAAAGGGCACCGATCGTGTGTGAATCATTCATCGTTGGCTGTTGCCGGTGATTGATCTGTGTGAACGAGTGACCGCACAACTTGGTTAGTTTTGAAGTAGTATTGGTTAACGACCATCATCCTGCTCGGAGAGTGGAGTCTTGCGTGTCCCCTCGGTAGTACTGCTGTTCCTATTGTTTCAGAGCAAAGAGTGAAGTGTAGTGCCACAAGCCTTCTTCTGCGTCTCATGCGCGTTGCTACGTTTTTCGGAGACGTTCGTTCGCCTTCTTCCCCGGCTCTCGGTTTCCCCGCAAACGGCACGACGACGGTGGTGGTGAGGCCGAATTGGAACCCACGCCCGAGTGGGCGGAGACCTCTGTACAGCTCGTGGGGTGCAAAATCCATCCGAAACCCTAATAGCGTCTGTTAGGTTTAGCAACCGTAGCCCCATAACCTTACATGCTTGTAGCAACAACAGTTTTTGTGCATCGGTAAACTGCTGTCCTCTTTCCGTCGGGTTAGGGTTTGTTACGGTCGAACAACCCTAAAGACCCCACATCCATCCATGCATACTTTTAGCAGCAGTTCTTCTCTCTTTTGCATCATCGGCGAACCGTACTCTTCCGCCAACTGCTGCTAGCAGCTGTGTTTTTTTCATGGTAGTACATAGGGCAGGGGGCGCGGGCGGATACTTATTTTGCACTTGTAAAACATGTGTATTTTGATTTTTTGCACAACAACGGCGATGACAATGAAACGGCCGTGGAGTCTGATAGCACCAGAGGTGGGCGTCTTTTTGGCGATCGATGTTGTTTCACGATGATGAGGACATTGAAGCCGCCACGTTACACAGACCAAGGTGTGCATTTTGTTCGTGGAAACCTGTTGATGGGCAAACCAAAATCATACGTTCGTGCTGCACTCATACACGCCCCATAAACACTCACAAATGTTGGAGTGCTCGAGTTCTCGAGATGATGCACACTGACTGCAAATTGACCGTATACCGAACCCCCCCCCCCCATCTTTTTTCTGGCGGCGCGTGCCTGAAAAACGAAGCGAAACAACAGCAGTTTCAAGCCTTCCTCTCGCGAAACTGCTGCATTCATCACGATGATCACAAAGACGAGGCCGATTCACGGGCGGGTTGCTGTAGTGGACGTGCAGAGAGCAACAAGAGAGCACTCCAGTAGGTGTGTGTCCCGATATAGTTCCGGTGTGCCCAGAGGTTTGACCGGCATCACTATTATATACCGGACACCCGGCAACACTATTCAGGGATAATTAGGTTTTACAATAGGAGCGGACACTCGTGCTAGGTGTGGCCGGCACTATCCCCGGCACCAGCACTATTGGACAGCTACGCCCGGACATGTACAAGTAAATACGCGATGCTCTATGTATCTATGTATGTACCAACCAGCAGTGCCCGTGACTGCCCGTGGTCCTGTACCCCCCCCCCCC